GTGATTGTACATTGCATAACGTCCCTTTAAATTGGAGAATATTTAACTCAAATGGAAAAGCCACCTCTTGTCGGTGGAGAGCTGCAAATTTGTCCTATATGCTCGGCACTTATAGCCATTGAGCAGTGAGGGATCTTTTTTCGAGCCAGCACCTACTGCGATACGGGACCTCGGATAATACGGTCTAGATCTCATCCGAAGGACCGAACTCCACGTCCCATAGTGGGACTATGATTCGGAACCACGACGTTTTGATCGACTCCTTACTACTGTGTTTCGTGACTCTAGAGCAGACGCCGTAACCACAGTGCCACGCGGGCGACTGCAACCCGGGGGGGGGGGGGGGCTGCGTCCAGGGGGGGGGGGAGGAAGTCATTATCCATTTGTACTCGTGAAGATTATCTATGTTTAAATAAATGTTTAAATTATTTAATTATTAACCCTATTAAAATGATACCATTTAAACATTTATTCATATAGGACCGATAACTTTTCTTCAAAAACTGAAAACGTTTGTATATAAACATTGTTTTACGATTAAAAAAAACTATTCGAGGGAGGGGTTGCTATGAAGGGGGACGAATTGCTATATGCAGCGAGATTTCCCACGGAAGACTAGCTATACATGTATATTGAAACTTCCCCGGGGGGAAGTCTCACTGTATAGTCTTCCGAAGGAAGCTTCATTATGTAGTCATTCTTCCAGGGGAATTATTACCATATTCCGAGGGAATGGCATTATCGGGTACATACCTGAACTTATAACAAACATCATTTGAAAATCTAAGTTCGATTGATAAAGTATTAAGGCAGAAAATTGAAAAATCTCGAATAACCCCGGCCCGGGTTTGCTTACCTAGTTTTACCAACACTCGTAGGAACACCCCTGCCACCTAGCGTTATAATGCGGCACTAAATTTTGACAACTTGTATTGGTCTTCATTGAATATGCTTCAATCTTTGTGTGATTGAATTCACGTTCTTAATAGAGATAATCATTTAAGAAACTGTATCAATTTAAAAGAAAGTAAAATGAATTTACAAGAATAAAGCAACATAGAAGTAAGGGCAAAATGAAGAAGGATAAAAGTCAAAGTGAAAGACGAATATGAAAAAAATAAAGTGACATATAATTACAATAATAACAAAGCATAAAGAAGTAGTCAGAATAAGAATAAAAGCAAGATACATAGACTTTTGGCGGTAATTCCCTTCCATATACATCATTAAATTTATGTTACTTATAATTTATTTTCATTTGTTGCATTGAATGAATAAATATGTATTAATACAATCTGATTAAAATCAGATCCTTTGATCCGCTCACATAGATCGCTACACAAGGATCTGAAGAAACCCCATTCAGGGTCATCTCCTGGTGACCTTTGAATTATCCAATCAAATGTTCACTTTAGAGATTTGGAAAGTATCTCGGAATTCAGTTACAAAGGGGAAAGGCCCGATGATACACGAATGGAAAAATCGTGACCTAGTTCCTGTAGCCTGTCAAGAGAAGGACCAAAGTCTTTTCTGTACAGTAATATAATAAGTACTTGCTTTTGTCTTGTTTTTTAGCTCTTTGTTTTGTACGAAGCGATAAGATCTTCTCTGCAGCTACTTTCACTTCTATATTCGTTTTCCCGAATGTCGCTTAAGTATGATCTCTCTGATTGGTCAAAATTTTCATGAATATTTTTATTAGAAAGGTCACCAGGAGATGACCCTGAATGGGGTTTCTTCAGATCCTGTGTAGGTAGCGATCTATGTGAGCGGATCAAAGGATCTGATTTTAATCAGATTGGTATTAATATGTTTTATCTTTCCTCCATAAACTGTCATATAGTCAAACATAAGTATTTCAATACACTACCAGACTGATAGGTTATATATTGGTACATTACAATAACTTTTACAAATACTCACTACTGAATGAACCAGGTAAAACCGAAATTTAACAAACTCATTGCCATTTGTCATATAGGAGGAAACATGAGGAATTGCGTAAAAGCAAGAGTCTAACTGCAACGGAAAATAAAAAGACGGATTGTATTTTCGAAACGTTCGTAATGTTTTATGGGTATTTTAACGCCCACAAACCCACATTTTTACTTAATACATTTGAGAATTTGCTTTATTTTTAGCTTTACGATCATTTTTTTAACTTAAAAAAAAGACTAGAGGTACTGTGAGCAATGAGCTCACTAAATAATACCCCCCGCATCCCATAATGTCGATGTGTTGCTTTATATTGTTTTACGGTAATGTGTAAAGAGGAATAACTCGTCCCGTCAAATGTTATCCAGAAGCTTCTATTATGTGACGTCATAGGTAAACAAAAAATGGCAATGTCCATGTTTTGCTCTGGGAAACCTAAAATACGTGTTGAATAAAAAAGTAAAATAGGAGGTGCACAATGGCAATATGTAATGAAGATTCTGTGAAAGTTTCATTCAATTTCACTCAGTAGTATAAGAGGAGTTGCGGATAAGAGAAAAAGCGTAACAGACGGACGGACGGACGGACGTACAGACGGACGGACGGACGGAAATCCCGATCACTATATACCCTCCCGCTTTTCAAGCGGGGGGTATAATAAACAAGAAACATAGCCAAGTCCCAGGACTTTGGCGAATTCTAAATGCCGAGTCAGGTCTTGAGGAATTTTGAACCCCTGATAAATACCACAGAGACTGGCACACCAAGCTGTTATCTATTTGGATATACTAAGAGAAAGACGTTTGTGGTAACCTTGCAACGAAACTTTTTCATATAGCAATATATTGTAACAGATACAATTATTTGCCCCTGCAGCTGGGGATTGAAAAAATGCTAGTCCAGTGCTCTACCAACTGAGCTAAATGGTTAACCCACCATCTTCGCTGGCTAAGGGTTTCTGATACGCTACTCTCATCATGAACAACGTATCAGAAACTCTTGACAAGCATTGTACATGTACGAAGAATCCCGTGTATCTTACACTAGTTACCACATTTGTCCACTCTAGAGAATGAAATGTCCTCATCTCTTTAAGGACCCTCTCTACACAAGTGCAATTTTTATACCACCACCCCCCTCCCCCCGCTTGAGAAGCGGGAGGGTAAATAGTAATCGTTAATCGTTAATTCTGTCCGTCTTTCCGTCCGTCTATTACGCTTTGGGGTACCCATCTCTTATCCACAACTCCTCTCATACCACTGAATGAAATTTGATGAAACTTTTACAGAATCTTTATAACATATTGCCATTGTGCACCTCCTATTATATAACTTTTTGATCCGACACATATTTTGGGTTTCCCGGCCACAGCAAAACATGGACTTTGCAATTATAACTATATGGAGGCGGGGGGGGTATCATTTAGTGAGCTCATCGCTCACAGTACCTCTAATTTTTTTTACATTAAAAAGAATATATTGTATGAAGGAGTTAATATTGAGCTTATCTATTTAATTTTCAATGTATTGTGCGTGGCATTTACCCCAAGGAAAAATAGTCAAAGACATCACAGTATGATGAGTATCAGTGAATAGAAATCACTGTTAATTACTTCAGTAGAGAAAATACATGTAAATAACATGTTCAGTTTATTTATTCTGGCCTTTTAAAATGTTAAGAATACTTGAATTGATTACAAATTGAGTAACATATTATAATTTTCTAATTTTTGGAATTTAGATCTAAGGGCAGATCAATCTAACTGCAGAAAAATACCTTAGAATCAGAACTCTGTAACGTAGAGTGTAGAGACTCAGGGTTCTTAATTTGGAGTGTCAACGGCATATGGAACGATTGAAGTTTTGTGGGTAATCACTCTTAACCTTCAGAGAATACTTAGTATTTGGGTCCCAACGTGGGCGTTAAATGTAACACAGGCATTTATTTGCTTCTGCTATACACTGAAAAAAGACTAGTGAAAATCACTAAGAAGACTAGTAAGTTTACTGTCCATGTAATCACTACCTGAAAAGTAGTTTTGCTAGGTATATTGGGTAGGTTTACTAGATAACATTAGTAAATCCAGAATTTATAAGTAACTTTCACTTTGTATCTAAGTATCTTTTCGACCTCCTCTCCTCTTATCATCTTAGCTTGTAAACAGAAAAAAAATACTTATCACTTACTAATCAATATTTACTTGAATACACCATTATCAATATAATTTACTGAATTAAGTAACAGAGAGGTTGTATTTATAAAAAGCATCACACAAATGCAGTAGATTGAACAGTATTTTTTTAAAAAAAAAAATGCACATTCTGAATATAAAGTGCAATGTCTGATTTCATAATCTTCTGACAGGGGTCCGACAGGGCATATTTCAGACTATGTATTATAAACAAAAATAGAGGTTGAATTTCTTTCAAATCAAATACAGATTATATATAATGAAATATTTTGCATCCTAAAAAAAATTTCAAAGTTTCCAAAAAGTTGAATTTGAGAAAAAAATTTGGCATATCTATTGTTTACTACCTTAAATTAATTTAGTATATATTTTTTTTGTAATTTAAAATACCTTCTTGTGTATGTGTAACGTTAAGATCCTACTATTGCTTTATTTGTACTCTGACAACACCGAATTCAAGAAAGTTTTATTTAATAGTTCAGAAGATTTTAAGACACATTACAATGCTATTATAAACTCGTCAAAGAGTATAAGGACATTTGACACTACACAATTGCCTGATAAGACAATATAAACAGATGTGCAGTCACACTATCACGGTTTTAACCAAATTACCAATTTTTTTCAAAGCCCCTTTGCATTGTATGCGCAAAATGGAAAACTCAACAGCTGAAGCCAGGATTCCTCCTATTGAAACCACTGATCAATTTCCCGAAGAACCAGGTGTCACGGATATTGCTCTTGTTGTAGAGGGAAGAAAGCTGTACACCGTTAAGTCAGTTCTAGCTTTAGCGTCTCCGGTTTTCAAGTCCATGTTTTTCTCGGATTTTAAAGAAAAAAAAAAATGCGACTGAAATTGAATTACCTGGAAAAAAGTACGAACCATTCAAGAACTTCCTAATGTGTTTGTCCCCAAATGAATACTTGGATTTAAAAGGTATGTTTTACCTTGAGGAATTCTATCGAGGAATTCGAATGTCATATATCGATGAATTCATATCAGAATATGAATTTCTGATATCGAGTTTCAGAATTATGTCGTCCCGAACGAAGAAGGGGACGACATATTGCGATTGTATGCATGTTTTTGTTGTACAAGCTGTTTCTCGGAGATGGCTGGGACAATATTCCTTAAACTTTCCTCAAAGGATGATCGCTGGTTGTAGTTGTGTTGTCTGGACATTCAGTTTTAAAATGGCTACCGTTGCCATGGAAACCTGCAAAAAGCGACGAATTTTGTCCGCGAATGTTCTCTCTGGTCCCTTGAACATTCGTCATGAAATTTTATTGATGTAATGATTAGTATCTGTAATTGTGCTCAATGGATTTAAAAATTGGAAATTGTCAATAGTATCCATGGAAACAGGGGAAAAGTGAAAAATCTTTAACTTTGATTTTTAAATTAAAGTACTGGAAGCACTGATACGAGTTGATGGTTGTCCAAGCTTCTAGTTCTAGGAAACTGTCCATCCAATTGAGCTCAAACCTTTTTAGGGTTAATAGGCATGTTGTGTAGATGTACGGAACGAAGGTCATTTTGCACGCATACGCATGCACGTGCGGGCGCGTGCAACATGTGAAATGACTTATATACTTAATATAGCTATAACTTTAACACTTTTTGATGGAATGCTCTGAAACTTATTATATAAGGATATTATATAAGGATTTATTAATAGTGTTGATAATATGACACTGTCAAATTACTACGAACTCACGTACATACACGTGCGCTTTGCTCTGATTGTCTGAAACAAAAATCTTTATATCTTTTTTGTTTTTTGACGATATACTTTGAAATTTTAAATAAAGTCATGCATTAGAATATCATACAATATGATATATAACAATAATCATGAAAACGAGTGCATTCACGTGCGCTGCAATCTGATTGACTAAAACTTTAAATGGCTGTAACTCCTTTGGTTTTCAACCAAACAGGATGAGATTTATAACATAGATAGACGTAATGGATTCCTACAAGAAGGTATGGTCATCATGCATATGCATGCACGTGCGTGCACGTGCGCTTAGCTCTGATTTTTAAATCAAAGTACCGAAAGGACTGATACGAGTTGATGGTTGTCCAAGCTTAGCTAATGGGTATTGTATTACTGATGAAAAAAATGAAAGTCTTGTCCAGTTCGGGACGACATACGCTATTGCTTACAATAACAGACTTTCTAGTTTAAAATATTATTTGCTATTCACTATTGGAACAGCGAATTGTTTTCTATGGTCGGTTAACTATTCAAACTACCGGACATGTAAGTGTCCATACATTTTCTTTTTAAAAACTAGATTTACTCAATTAAATACATCACTGTAAAAAAATAACTAGTTAATGTCACGAAGAAAACTAGTAGATTCACTGTCCATACAATCACTACCTTAATAGTAGTTTTACCAGACATTGGTATATTTACTAGATAAGATTAGTAAATTTAGAATTGATGAGTAACTTTCACTAGGTATCTAAGTATCTATACGACCTCCGCTCCACAACTCACTATCTTAACCAGTAAACTGAAAGTTTACTAATCACGACCAACGCTTTACGAAACACACTAGTTAAATTCACTAGGTTTTTCTTTCAGTGATGTTAAAGAAGCGAATCAAAGACCACACTTGCAAAAAAGAAACAGGAACCCAAACCAATATAGCTAGCCTTACCAAAATTAAGGATGCAGACGTCCTTTGATTCTTTGTTTGGTTAATATTAAATATCGTGTATCGTTTGAGAATTTTTTCTCTCATATTCAATTCGACGCTACAAACACCTACTGCGACACGGGACCTCGGTTTATACCGTCTCATCCGAAGGACCGGCCTCCACGTCCAGCAGTGGGATTCGTGTCCCCGACGTAATTAAGTCCTAACCCCACGACTTTATAGAGTTGACGCTTTAACCACTGGCCTGGCGACAAGTCCTTTGAAAAATATTTAAATTGTGAATGTGTCTACAGGGTTTGAGTCGATATTGTACTCGTATATACCGGTATTTCGAAATTGAAATTAGTTTCTTTTTAATGAAGAAAATTTTTCTAAGAAAAAATGTTTCAAAATCATATACATAGCGGGTACCACTAAGTGTTCAACCGAGTCTCTTTCTTTACTCCTCACTAAGATATTAACAGTAGTGCAGAGAAACTTCAAGAATGCTGTGCAACAATATATTCAAGAAGTGGTGTAAATCAGATGTGGACAAATAAGAATTCCAAGGAACTTTTGGACAATTAAAAATCTGAAGATTTTACAAAAATCAACAGCTTAAAAACTGACGACTTTACAACTTTATACACAACCAGGCTTTTTTATATCATTGACAGCTGTTTTGTCAATAAAAATGGAATTTACTCGTAAATTACCTTACCTTGAAAATGGTCATTTGCAAAATTATTTTGTTAAAAAAAATTCTGATTATACACACAAGTACTCCGAAGTTGACATCAAAAAGATGCATGAGTTTCTGATCGACAATATCTATGTTGTTTTTGGAGACCAGGTCTTCCAGTCTACTGGATTTCACATGGGTACTAATTGCGCCCCGTTATTATCAGACCTTTTTTGAATTCATATGAATCAGAATTTCTTCAAAATCTTATGCGTCAAAAGAATCTAAAACACTTGCTGTAGCTCTCAACTCGACATTTAGATATATCAACGACGTATTGTCAACTAATAATGGTTATTTCCATTCCTATATCGATACAATAGTCTGGTGAGCTTGAGATACAAGATACCATAGAGTCTGACACATATGTTTCATATTTGGATATTTGAAAAGACATTCATGGTAATATAATAGCATAGCAAGCTCTGTGATAAAGCTGATGACTTTAACTTTTCTATTGTCAACTTCCCTTACTAATGCAACAATACACCTTCATCACCTGCATACGGAGTTCATATATCTCAGTTGATTCGATACGCAAAAGCATGCTCTACGTATGAACACTATCTAAAACGAGTTGAATTATTGACAAACAAGTTGATGAAACGCGAGTATCAGCAGACTCGTTTAAAGTCACCATTTCGTAAGTTCTATGGTCGATACAATGACCTTGTCAGTAAATACAATTTATCATTGCGGGCGTGACCGGTCGGCAGGGGATGCTAACTCCTCAATGGCACCTGATCCCATCGATGTTTTGGAGGTCCGTGTTTGCTCTGTTTGTCGTATTTTATATTGTTTTATTTTTTTTTTTATCTTAACACTTTTATGTTTCATTTCCAATTATCCTCTTTATAAACATCGGGTTTTGATACTTTGGAATTATGATTTATTTAACAAAGAAATCAAGACACATCATGTACATGCATTGTATTATATATGCAATCCAAGTTCTAATTGCGTTCTGAAATAAAATAAAGCATTCAAAATTGTAGAATATATTTGTGTTACAAGTTCAAATGTTCTCTTTGTAATTATATCTTATGCAATATATACGTTTATCACCTGCATACGCGGTTTACATCTCTCAGTTGATTCGATAGGCAAGATCGAGCTTGCTCTACTCATGAACAATTTCTAAAACGAAGAAAGTTATTAACAAACAAGTTGGGGACAAAAAAATATCACCAGTCTCTCTTAAGGTCACCATTTCGTTTTAAGGTTCTATGGTCGATACAATGACCTTGTCTGCAAATACAATTATCATGGGGTCAAATGCAGACTGACGTTTCTCATAGAATTGTTTGGTCATTATTTACACATGGAATTATTATTGGGTTTTTCCATTATTATCCGATCATGACAAGGATCATGAGGAAGGTCGACAGGGGATGCTCACTCCTCCATTGGATCTGATCCCACCTCTGGTGATTTACTGAGGTTCTTGTTTGCTCTGTTGCTCCTTAATTGTAGTGTTTGTATTTGTATTGTTAATTGGTCCTTTGAGCTTGAAAACTATTCGTTATCTCCATAAATTCCATGTTTAAAAAAAGCGATGTCATTCAATCTAGCTAGAACGTACGACAAGAGAATTTATGTCTTTTTTCAACACCTTCATTAAATTGTAATTTTACAGAAGTATAATTTTAATTTTAAAATTAATATTAGAATTAAAATATGCAAAACATGCAAAATTTTAAAATTATATATGTAAAGTATTAAGACTTATGTAAAACGGTTAATCAGTCTTTCGTCCACTCATGGTAGTTTTATGGTAATGCATTATGTTAATAAATATTCTTGTCAGATTTCTCACGATGAAGGTCATAGAATTATATTTATTTATTCTGTATTTTTAATACTTGTAGATGATGTGATCGAAGATATACTTCCTTTGGCAAATGAATACCAAGCCATTTCTATTCTCAAAACCTGTGAAGCATGGCTGCTTAAAGAGATTGACCTCAAAGAAGCAAAAAGTAAGACTATGATCAGTGATTTGGAATTTCTACTCAAATTTTATTACTATAGTGGTGAATACAACCTGCCAAATCTTCATGAACGAACTCTCGCATGTTTAGTGCCATTTACCTTGTCTTCATGTAAACAAATAGAAAAGTATTATAGACGACTGACAGACAGAGACAAATTAGAGCTATTTGAGGCCAGAATCGAAAAACTTGACTCTTTACACTACGGTTCAACCAGCTGCCATTCCAAATACTCGCATTTTTTGCAACACCCCTCTACTGCCGCTGTAAAGACAATTTATGACCCCCCTGGAATAATGCCCGGGGGTCTTTATTTGCCGTCGATACCACCTCTTCACTGAATCTATCTCCAATATTCTGTAAACACTTGAAAAAGTATTGGGTATAAATTAGTAAGTGAAATACAAAATTTATCATATAACATATTCCGTTGGGTGGGAAGGAAATCTTATAATCTCCAACAGCTTCAACTCAATATTGTCAAGGAGTGATTTTGTGTATTTAACTTTTACTTTGATGTTTCAGCATCTGTGTTGTATTTATCAAATTTGACATCTCTCCCCAAATCGTCCCACAGTATCAATGACGGTACTGTGAGTTATATGTTTAGAGTAGAGATAAAAGCTTGAGCATTTCCTGTCCTGAGAATTCTGTGGAAATTTATGTCAACCATTCTTTCTTTTGATGTTACATTTGATTTCGTATTCTCTCATTGGTTATCTTTATAAATGTGGGCGGAGTTTAGGGGAATGTGTGTATCAGAATTTAGTCTTAGTTTGAGAGTTTTAGCGATTAAAGCAATATGAGCTGCATGTTTGACTTCGGAAAAATTTTTGCTAATTTGTAATTAACTATTTCAGTGACAGAAAAATAGAACAATTATTAACTTCTGTTGTTCATATTTTCTACAAAAGAACTTTTTATACGCTTTGATTGAATCAAAATTGAATTAGTGTCGTCCTGTACAATAATGATTTCTTAAATAATTATGTATATTCACTTGTACAGATATATTTCTTCTAAAACATTTTTAAACTTTATTTTGGTTTTATTGATCATAAGGGTTTAGATTACATACGGATTAATCATAATAACACATTTTACCAGCAAAATAAAAATCTCAAAAATGCAGCTCATATTGCTTTAAATACACTGTATATCCTTTGGAATTTCATGAATAAAGAGTAAAAACGAAAACATGTAGTGACGAATAATATTTTCAAGGATATTTCCCATCGTCACAATATATACATATACCATGTTTACTAGAGTTATATCTTGCAAAAACTTGTATAACTTCTGTATCTCTAAAGGCAACGATCAAATTACAGAACTGAGAATTCGAAATTATCATTAGAATAACCGGAATTAAGTTTGCATTTAAAAATCTAGCTCTGTTGCAATGTAAAAAAAAAATGTCATGCACAGTATCGAAAGGAAAATGGCACATTATAAGAGGTAAAATAACAAATTACCTTTAGTTTTTAAGAAATTTCTAAAAATTTTATTCAGAATGAGGTGGGGGAACAATACCTCGCTCTTCTCCGATTCTAATATATCACCGGGCTCATGGCGGGACGTGACGGTTCAACAGCAAATGCTTGGGCTTTTTACGCTACTTATCCCACCTCTGCAATTATTGGGGAGTGTTTTATGCCCTGTTATAATAGAATTGTTTTGTTTGAGGGTGTTTAAAAATCATCACTCTTCCCTATCTTCACTTTTTTTTTTACTAGGAAATATATCCACAGATGTCGTTCGCACGAGATATTTGTCAATTTCGATATCTCATTTGCACGACTTTTTATGTCATTCAAAATATACACATATACGTATATGACATTGCATAACTCTCTGAATTTATTTCCGAAAACTTTTTTCATTCCTTTTTTTCTTTTTCTTTATTTTTTTGGGGTTAAAGTTCACCCTATTCAATTTGTAAGCATGCTGAATACTTTGGAGGAGAAGGGTTTACATTGAAAAGCCAGAACATTTTTAATCTGTGTTCAAAAATATAGATACATGTATGTAGATGTAATGCTGATTTATTGCGTTCGTCCAGTGTTGGTCAAAATGTGCATATAAGAATTAAACAGTGAGGTTCAAACTTCGGCATCAATCACCTGTTTTTAATTTTGTATCAATCTGTTGGAAAACGGGTCATTTTTGGGAATTGATGTACAATGTATCTTTATCAGACAAAATGACCTGAAGTGGACAGTTTTACATGTTTCTTTTTCAGCATATTTTTTTTCTATTATCTGTAATTTATTGACAAATTCCTTAACCTACCTTTAGAAAAGCCAAAAAGGGGTAAAAATATAAAAATGTATTTGTAAGTTAACTTTAGAAATAAATTCATAGAAGTTGTATAGCGTTCTTCTAACTTTTATTTGAATCCTGTATGGATATATCTCTGAAAAATATACAAACGCTTTAACAAAATATAGTAAAGCGTGGATAGAGTGTACATGCTTATGATGAATTTACGCTTACAACAAAGTGATTTTCATTCCTCGTAGTTCTAAATAACATGACTCTATAATGTTAACAAAATGGATATGTTCATCCTTGACACCATTTTACTCTCACGTTGACTGTAAGTCTCGACACTCTTTTGTAAGTTTTATTCCACCTATAAATTCTGTTACTAATATAGTGTCATTTTTAGTTAAAGTCAGTAAAAAATTTATTTCAAGACATATAAAAATATATATATTGATCCCAATTATCAAAAAGTTAAAAAGTCCTTTTGATTGCCATAGCATTTTCATTTGTGGCCATTTAATTACTTTTTTTCTATTATTCAACGAAACTTATTCATCAATGGCTTGCTGGCATATCAAAGATTGAAATACAAGCCTTAAAGCTTCACCTTCTTCTGTTACTGGTTAAATTATTAATGGTAACTAGTTGCAACCTGGCAAATTTGACGTTATCCCGTTGTAATCACATAATAAAATGAAAAAAATCTTGGCATCTTTCGATTTTTTTTTTTTTTTTTTTTTTTTGCAATAGGGTACATAAAAATTAACTGGTTGCAACTTCCAGTTTAACAAGAAATAATAATCAGAGTCGGATATTTCTTAAGTCTCAACACAAAAGTAAGTTTCATTTTACAGAGATTTTGATAAACTTGCACCCTAAATAAAAAGGGGATACAGTTAAACTCAACAAGATTAAAGAAAGTCACCTCAGGTAACTTGAAAACCAGAGATGCTCCGTGTTTCAAACAAAGTGCAATATCTACCAATTTCAAAAATAAAATCCTTATACCCAAGATTTCCGTATAAGTGAATTATTAGTGAAAGAGTTTTACTGCATGTGATCATTTTAAAACAATGAACTGGAGCAACTTCATTAGTATTACTGATATTTATCCTTTTTCTTTATCAAGCACATGATCTCACGCCGTATTGTTTTTGCTATCCTTGACGTTCATCATCTTTTTGACCGTTCTTTAATCCAAACATCCATTGTAATTTTTTGTATATATAAAAAAAGATACTTATCTTGATTCATAACTCTTACCTCTATCGTCAGACCGAACAACTGAGAGCCAACAAACAGAGAGCAAAATACCAAGTGTAAAGGACATAATAGAAATGTTTGAATAACCTGCAAAGCAGACACACTAGTTTTGAGGAGAGCCGGGTAAGTTAGTGTTGTCAATCTGTCATTTGTTAGTAAACAATTAACAAGAAGCAGGAACCAGCAGACTTTTAACCTTTTGAACGTCAAGCCTTTGGGAACACCACATCCGTGTCTGTCAACCTGATAAGTGAACAGAGTTCGGTTATCTTAAGACCCTGTCACACGAGTCATTACGGCGTCGTTTAAATTTTAAAATCGCCATGAAATCGCAGGAAAATTACTCCAATTTCTGTAAAATTTTCACAAGATGAAGATGTCACGGCGTCCCTACGGCGATGGACGCAATTCTACTGCGATCTCACGGCGTTCTACTGCGTTCCCATGGAGATCTCTCGGCGATTGACTGCGCTTCCGCGGAGTTGTTACGGCGCGTTAGGAGTTTTCACCTCGTGATCACGGCGTTCTCACTGCGCTGGCTGCGTTCACAATACGTTCACAATGCGTTCTATACTCATTGATATATATTCAGAAGGAGTGTAAAACATTTTTGTTTAAAGATTCAAGTTACACGATGAATAGAAATATTCCTAATAATTAAAAATGTTTTATTTAATGATTTAGTACTAGGGCTGCTAGAAGTAGTGCTTTGTAGTTGGCTTTAGCTAGTTGCTTAGCACATTTTGCTTTTAGTAGCTTAATGTTGGTGGCCTATAAGCTCCCTCCATAGCTCTCTCGGAGCACCGGTCGGAGTACGTTTTGATTATAGGTTATCTTCACAAGTGCATGACAACGGTTCTCGCCCGCCCTCCCGGGGAACGCAGCTTCGCGGCTGTTAGTAGCAGACTCAGTAATGAGGTCATGTGCTCGGGGATAGGTATCCCTTAAAGTGGATGGCATGCATGACCCACCGGCGTGTGGATACGCTCTGGTGCCAAGACAAATACCTAGTGACCTATCACTTAAAATAGGCGTAGTGTTTCCTGCGTTACCTATATACATAGGAAGAAACTTCTGATCCTGCTTGTATCGAAGAATGGGGGCGAAGAGAGGATCTCATCTCAATTCGGCTCAAAGTATTCATTTGAGGAGTAGCGACCCAAGTGAATTATCATCGCTTCGTAAACCAACCATGAACACGTCTCGTAAGCCAAATCCTATACTTTCAGCTCCGGGAGTGAGCAGGAACCCTGCCATCAATACTGAAGCTAGTCGCTCGCAACAGCGACGGAATGAAGATGTCGCCACAAACCGGAACCCTCTCGGGGTGGCATCTGAGAACAGTGGACGTATGAAGGCATTTTTACGTTGTAATGAAACAACTAACATTGCAACCTAAAACGTCAACACACTACTTGATGAGGATAAAAAGTGGGAATTACAGCATTGCAGCCAGTTGCAACACATAGGAATTCTCGGTGTGCAAGAGCATCGCATCATACACTCTGACCCCATTGAGTATACCAAGTTTGACACAAGCACTCTAGTGACTTCATCTGGATGGAGAAACAAATCCCAAGCAGCACAAGGTGGAGTTGGACTCCTCTTAGATAGGAAAGCTAGAAAATCTCTACTGAAAGTTGTCCCATCTAAGAGTGGAAGAATACTAGTAGCTGAATTCGATGGAAATCCTCGTAAACCATCATAGTTATCTATGCTCCTACCAACTGTGCAGAGGATTCTGTCATCGAGGAATTCTACACAGAGCTTAGAAACGTACTACAGGATGTACCAGCCCACAACTTCCTTGCAGTCATGGGAGATTTCAATGCTAGACTGGGACCTGAACATGTACCTCATCCATTTCATGAGCTAACAAATAGAAGTGGAAACTATCTTGCTGAAATTCTCGTTGAATTTGGTCTACTAGCAGTAAACACACAATTTAAGAAGCGCCCTGGAAAACTTTGGACATTCAAATGTAGAGCATCCAACACACTGAAACAACTTGACTACATTCTTGTTCGGCAAAAATGGAGAAATAGCGTCCATAACGCAGAAGCGTACAACTCCTTCAGCACAGTGAAGTCCGACCATAGAATAGTGTCTGCAAAGATCAAGCTCAGTCTGAGAACCTCAAAAACAGCCCAGAAAGTCAAATACGACTGGAAACAGTTCTCCAGCAATACTGAGCTTCAGAAAAAATACACAGTCGCTGTTAAGAACAGATTTCAAATTCTGATGGATGAGAGCAACAGCGAAAGATACGAAAAGTTCGTAAAAGCCAATCAAGAAGCAATGAAAGAATGTCTCCCTAAACGAGCTAAAATCAAGAAATCACTCAGGTCATTAGACCCCAGAGTCTCTGAAGCTCGCCAGAAAGCACAAGAAGCCCAGAGGCAATATGAGTCATCTAAAACTGACGAAGACAAAGATCTCTGGTCTGTAGCAGTAAATAACCTTTATCAAGCATACAAGCTGGCACAAGAAGAAGAACTAGCTGAACAGATACAAGGTATTGAAACTGCACATGGAGAGCAAAGATACGGAGAGGCATGGAAAGTCGTTAATGAGATCACTGGTAGAAAGAAAGCTAAGGAAGGACAGGTAGCCGGAAATAGCCCTGAAGAGAGAGTCAGCACATGGTATACGCACTTCAAGAATCTCTTAGGGAACCAACCTGATGTAGACGAGCCTGAGGAGGAAATTCCAAAGGTGTTCGATGATATCGACATCAATGATGAACCTTTCACTCTAGCTGAATACAGAAAAGTGAAATCCTCCCTGAAGCTAGGCAAGGCAGCAGGTCCGGATGAAATACCCCCGGAAGTCTTCAAACTGTGTGACTTTGATAGTGTTTGTTTAGGTTTCTGTAATGATGCACTCGCCAACAATGACAAACCAGATACATGGTCATTCATGAACATTGTAACTGTGCCCAAGTCTGGCGACCTATCAAAAACTGATAACTACAGGGGCATCAGCTTGATATGCATCATAGTCAAGATTTACAATCGGCTCATACTAAATCGTATCCGGAGTGTTATTGACCTACGTCTCAGAACTAATCAGAATTGTTTTCGCCCCGGGAGAACAACAGTAGCACAGATTCTTTCCCTCCGTCGAATAATCGAATGTGTCAAAGCCAACAACTTGAAAGCAGTCTTTACTTTTATAGACTTTCGGAAAGCATTTGACTCCATACACAGAGGTAAGATGATTCGCATACTTAAGGCATATGGAATTCCACCTAATCTTCTTCGAGCAATCGAAAAGATGTACACTAATACCATGGCCAAGATCGTAACACCTGATGGAGAAACTAGTATGTTTGAAATAACTGCTGGAGTTTTACAGGGAGATACCTTAGCACCATTCTTATTTATCATAGTACTGGACTATGCCCTGAGAAAAGCCATCTCTGGAAATGAAGAGGAATTGGGTTTCACCATACTGCCTAGAAAATCCAGAAGACACCCAAAACAAGTTCTTACTGATCTTGATTTTGCTGACGACATTTCCTTACTATCAGATGAAATTGTCCAAGCACAGGAACTGTTATCTAGAGTAGAGAGGGAGTGTAAGAAAGTTGGGCTATGTATCAATGCCAAGAAGACTAAAGTCCTTCAATACTGACAACCCTTCTCCACTCAAAACCTTAGATGGCACTGAAATCGAATGGGTAGAAGATTTTAAATATCTTGGTTCCTGGGTTGAAAGTTCAGAAAAGGACATAGCTGTCCGGAAAGCTTTAGCCTGGCAGGCTCTGAACAAGATGTCCAGAATATGGCGCTCAACAATGCGAAGTGATCTCAAGTTGCGTTTCTTCATAGCCACAATCGAGTCAATTCTACTGTAAGGCTGTGGGAGCTGGACCCTGACAGTAGCCCAGGAGAAGTCGCTAGACGGAACCTACACACGCATGCTCCGTAAGGTTCTAGACATTCACTGGTCAAGCCAGATTCCCAACGAGTTCCTATATGGTAACCTCCCAAAGGTCAGTGATAAGATAGCCTCCAGGAGATTGCAGCTAGCTGGGCATTGCTTCCGTCATCCAGAGCTCAGCGCTCAATCTTTGGTACTGTGGGAGCCAAATCACGGACGCCGTAGGAGAGGTAGACCCAAGGCCACGTTTTAGACACACTAAAGCGTGACACAAAGACAAGGGATACAAATGAGCTAGCTTCCCTAATGGCTGATAGGAAGAACTGGAGTGGTCATGTCGTTGGTCGTCTAAGGACGACCGAGTGAGTGAGTGAGTGAGTGAGTGAGTACTAAATCAGTAATAGTTTTATGATAAAACCCTTTTTTTCAATTTTATCGGAAGTCCGTCGGACAGGACGTTAAATGGTGCCCCGTGTCAAGGATGAAAACCCCCGTTGGCACGTAAAAGATCGTTTCTCTGGCGTTCGAAAAAGAGTAGGCTCATTGGGGGCCGCCAGAGAAACCAAAAACTTTACCGATCCATTAACCTAATAGTCCGCCGAAATATGGCTGAAATATTGCCGACTCGGCGTTAAACAATATACAATCAATTTTATCGGTTCAGATGTGTTGTTAGATTTTCTTTGATTTTATTATGAATGTAAAAAAATAAACACACTGAAAAGTTTTCTACAAAATTCAAGTGAAACAACAGAAAAAGTTCTGGTTTAATTTGATAAAGTGGATTCTTCATGAAATGGTAAAATTATTGCTTATTATAATCATTAAGTTGTAGAATTCATTTTTGTACTTTTCATTTGTACCTATTTTAAATTCATTTTATCCCATTTAGGAATAGGAAGCTACTCAGTTGTCTGGAAAAATTTATTTTTTCAAAATTAAAAGTTGGGATTTAATTTACCTGATCTTAGATGATCACAGTATGTATTTAAAGTCAAACATAAAAAAATGTTTTATTTCTAATTACACGTGTATCCAAACGTATGAAAAATCTGCATCAATTTTGATTTGATATCTGTAGCTTACATTGTTATAATGAATTCCTCCATAATATGTCATATTTTCAGTTATAAATTACGCAATAAAAAAGACATACCCTCCTTCGTAAAGGCGATTACTTCATATATGTTTTCACTCACTTGCAAATTAATAAAAAGGACAAGATAAAAGGAGAATATACTAGTAAATACATTATGCGCTTTGTGTACATGCACTTTTCTGTTTTGTTACTTAAACTTTGTTCAAATAAAATAAGTTAAAAAACAAAACTCTAATTATGGAAAAATACATGATTAGTGGCGTACATGGGTGGTTCGTGGATCGATTGGAGACACAACATAAATTTATCAATAGTTACAGTGCTATCATAAACTCATGCAAGAGTAAGGACATTTGACACTATACACAATTGCCTGATAAGACAATATAAACAGATGTGCAGTCGCACTATCACGACTTGAATCAAATTACCCTTTGCATTGTATGCGCAAAATGGAAAACTCAACAGCCGAACCCAGGATTACTCATATTGAAGCCACTGATCAATTTCCCGAGGAACCAGGAGTTACGGATATTGCTCTTGTTGTAGAGGGAAGAAAGCTGTACACCGTTAAATCGGTTCTGGCGTTAGCGTCTCCGGTTTTCAAGTCTCTGTTTTTCTCGGATTTTAAAGAAAAAAATGCGACTGAAATTGAATTACCTGGAAAAAAGTACGAACCATTCAAGAACTTCCTGATGTGTTTGTCCCCAAATGAATACTTGGATTTAAAAGGTATATTTTACCTTGAGGAATTCTATCGATGAATTTGAATGTTCACATATCAATGAATTCATATCAGAATATGAATTTCTGATATTGATTTTCAGAATTATGTCGTCCCGAACGAAGTAGGGGACGACATATTGCGATTGTACGCATGTTTTTGTTGTACAAGCTGTTTCTCGGAGATGGCTGGGACAATATTCCTGAAACTTTCCTCAAAGGAGGATCACTGGTTGTAGTTGTGTTGTGTGGTCATTCAGTTTCAAAATGGCTACCGTTGCCATGGAAACCTGCAAAAAGCGACGAATTCTGTCCGCGAATGTACTCTCTGGTCCCTAGAACATTCGTCACGAAATTTTATTGATGTAATGATTAGTATTTTTAATTGTGCTCAATAGATTCAAAAATTGGAAATTGTCAATAGTATCCATGAGCTTGAGATACAAGATACCATAGAGTCTGACACATATGTTTCATATTTGGATATTTGAAAAAGACATTGATGGTAATATAACAGCATAGCAAGCTTTATGATAAACCTGATGACTTTAACTTTTCTATTGTCAACTTTTCCTTACTTATGCAACAATACACCTTCATCACCTGCATACGGAGTTTATATATCTCAGTTGATTCGATACGCAAGAGCATGCTCTAGTATGAACACTATATAAAACGAGTTGTTATTGACAAACAAGTTGATGAAACAAGAATATCAGCAGTCTCGTTTAAAGTCATCATTTTGTAAGTTTTATGTTCGATACAATGACCTTGTCAGTATATACAATTTATCATTGAGTCAAATGCTGACTGACTTTTTCCATATTGCATTATTTAAGAAATGAATTTAATAGCTACCTGTTTTATACGGTATAAACTGGGTTGGGGCAGTTTACGCTTTGTAAACCACGAAGCTATTAATGCCTTGTTCACACGGAGAGTTTAATTCGAATTAAACGTAAAGTTACTGCGAATTAGCTTCGCTTAGCGTTCACACGGATAATTTAATGCGAATTAGTTTACTTCGAATTAGTTTACTGCGCATTAAATTACTTCGCATTAGCTCCGTGTGAACGCTAAGCGAAGCTAATTCGAATTGAAATCGGACGCATCCGTAATGGCAAAATTTAGTCAAATGCCACTTGTCGGTGGTCAGCTATAGGTACTTTTGCTATTTTTGAGTGAAAAACTAAGGAAAATTTTGTTGATCGATAAAATGTGTAGACAGACACTTTGCCATTATGTCAAATGGATCTGCTTCTGCAAAAGGTGACGTGATTTGCAAAAGACGTCATAATAGCCATGCTGACGCCGGGCTGCAGAAGTAAAATTTTAATTCGCATTAGTTTACTTCGCATTAGCTGTCGTGTGAACGCAATTTAATTCGCATTAGTTTACATTCAGGCAGAATTCTCAGGAAATCAACTCCGCTTACTTTCAAAGGGTTATTATAGAGAAAAAAATTAGAAATGGAAATATATATATATATGATAGAAATGCGGCCGAATGTCAACTGGTGTAGTAAATAGCCAATAAAAAGTTCTCTCACGGCACAGAGTATAAGTCGTCTGATCGTTATCAACAACAATTTTATGCAAAAGTTTAGAAAATGAATTTAATTTTTATTCACATGAATGTGTATAAGCATTCTTCACATCTAATTCACCAATGTTCAATATTAAGGATGTTGATATTTTTGCATTTCTTTGAATTCTAGTTTACTCTACTAGTAAATGATTTTAAAACATTTATAAAACTAATCTTAGTATTTCTTGTAAAATATCAGCTAGGGTTTATAGAGTCACCCTTGTCATTCCAAATGTGAATATGACTGCTATTGGGTGTGTTTCTCTGTTTTAAAAGGTGATTAATACGACCATCAAAGAGTCCAAAGGTTCCTCCTGAAATTAAAAATTACCAGGTATATATATTTTTACATAAAAGGTGCATGGACACAGATTTGAAGTGAATATTTTCTGTATAATATCACGATTTATATATTTTGATAGCATTTCACATGAAAATATATTAGAAATCTTATTTCATCTTTAAATTATTGAGTTAAAATTTTTAGATGGGTTTTATTGACACATCCTTGCATTCTCACAAATTTTACTTTTATTCTTAATACATAGAAAAAAGTGGCAATCTTCTTGTGTATTAATGAAAAATATTAAACTTTAATCAAGAAAAATAATTATATTCAGAGTAGAAATGTTAGAAAGCAAATCCCCTTCACAAGTATCGTCATTCCGCACCAAGTGTTGTTACAGAGTTTAGCAAATTGATCACATCCGTGAAACGTACAGAGTATTTGTAAACAGGGCACAAGCTCTGTTATTGTTGAAGTTTACGATTCAGCGGGAGCGTTCAATTGTTAAAGTCTGTTCACCACATCTGCACGGACTGAAAATATACTGTGTGTATGTTTTGCTCTTGAACATTTCTCCTCTTGATTTTCTGGATTATAGTTTTAATCTTTTTTCATTTATACACAACAAGATTGCCACTTTTCTTAAGTATTAAGAATACAAGTAAAATTTGTGAAAGTGCAAGGATATGTGTCAATCAAACCTGTCTAAAAATTTGAAGTTTTAATAACTTTTAGATGAAATAAGATTTTTATTATATTTTTGTGTGAAATGCTATTAAAATAATTATATGTTGTAATATCAACTTCAAATCTGTGTCCATGCACCTTTAAATATAGTTATTACAGTGTAAATATATAACAACCCAACAGATTCATTGTACCTTATTTATGTGATTCATATGCTTAAAAGC